CGAAGCGATGTATGAGTTAACAGAAGAACCAGTGGTTACAGAATCGAGAGAATGTCGCAAAGTTGGGCATGGCGGCCTATCGACCAACAAGGCATTGTTATTCGGCATCGTTTCCGGTACTGTTTCCACACTTGTATTTCAGCCACTGGATCTGGTCAAAACCCGGCTGCAGAACCGGTCTCACACTTTGAAGTTTGAACTTTACACTTTACACCGGTTTATGCTCAAGAAACTAACATCTTTAGTATGTTTAGAAACTGCAGTATATTTGGAATGTGCAGACGTATTTACAAACACGAGGGCATTTGTAGTTTCTGGAAAGGGACATTTCCGGTATTTGGCTTTTGTTTTGTTTTTTGTTTCTAAGCTCAAACATTCAATGACTTTAGTCCTTGTTGCGAATGGCGCCTGGCGTCGGTTTGTATTTCGGATGTCTGCAATTTTCTCAGAACGTTTTATCGTAAGTATTTTTGTAAAAATTTAAGGCAAAAGGAAAAATAAAGGCATGTATGAAAGGGTACCATTACCTCTAAAAACTGCATGTTTTTTCCTCATGTTTACAGGTAACTACTGGTTGTTCTAAGTGAAGAGATTATGTAAATTCTGCCAATTGACTGTATTATGTTGCAGTGTTCATCGTGATTTTAAGGGACGGTTGCTTTCAAGATTGTTACACATTATTGTTGTTTTATTGTCCTTTAAGCGTAGCAGCTAAAACAGCTAAGTAAGCCAGATTAGCACTTCAGATTGATATTAGGCACTGCTACAAGTACGATATTTCGATTAGACCATATCAGTGTTAGCCTTCAAGTTCGACTAAAGAATGTTTAGTGGAAATGACGTGCTTTGTAAAATATTAACAGTGGCGTCGTTTGTAGCCATGATAGATTCTGCTATATATTTAAACGAACGATAGAAATATCATATGAAATTTGTTATTATGTACTTGTATTATTATCTTTAAGACATGGTTATATTGTGTATATTATAGTTTATCTATATGATGCACATTTATTGTCTGATGTCAAGGTTACAGGCGTGTTACGCTAATATGGGTATTAACTTTCTAGTTAGATGGCCGATGTAGGTTGGTTTGAACTTCGACAGTTGCAAAAAAATACGTAAACATTTGTTTCTAGTATCCAGAATCACTGAAGGATAATTTCAATTTGTTCATCATCAGTCTTCGTCGATGCACTGCTGGGTGAAGGCCTTTCTAAGACTTTGTCATAGGCTCTTGTTTTCTGCTGTTCGTTTTGATTCGTTTTGATCCGGCAAACTTCTTCAGCTCATCCTGCCATGAAGGTTTTCCTACGGGCCGTTTACTCTCTCTTGGAACTCAGTCTAACGTCTATATAATACAGCGATCGTCGGTTCTCTTCTTCACTATGGCGATGTCATCACAGGCTCTTGTTCGTACTGTTATCCATTCAGTGCATCTTTATTGGTTATTCCCAATGCTGTACATCTTTCCATGTTGTGTTGCGTTGTCTGAAATTTCTCAGTAGTTTAAGGGCTTTACTTATGGTCCACGTTTCGCACTCATGAATTTGCATTGGAAGCACATACTGATCGGAAACTTTCTTTTTCAGTCATAAGTGCAGTCTTTTTCAGATAACAACATTTTCTGTTTTCCAAAATTATTCAATACCATGTTCATTCTTCTGTTAATTTCCCTTAGTCGGTTGTCGGTTGCAGAGATGAGCTTTTATAGACGGACTTAGTATTGCACTTTTAGAAGCCGTTGACTTGTACAGGTCGCGCGGTCATGTAGGTTTACCGTCGCTTATGGAATCTCGTAGTGACAGATATCTCGCCACATTATCTGGCGATGAGGTGAATGAAAAAGCGTGTCCAAAAGTCCAGGAACGTTGCTTTCAAGGGAAGTTGGAATCTCCGGACGACTCACTGATTCGCTTCAGCACGAAGATGTTGTTCACACAGGAATGACCATTTAGGAAGCTTGTTTGGTTAGTTCGCAACAGACGATCGATGGATTCCCTTAGTCGTCCAAAACTTCTGATGATTCTCACGATGTCATTCTGCAACACCGGCAGGACGATGATTAATCGATCTTCGTGACTCCCACTCTTGACCATCAGGATTATCGCTCCTTTCTTTTAATCGTCTTTTAATAAACCGAGAAATCTCAGGTTCATGGCTCGGAGAGGTCATTCGAATTTATTCCTTCCAAGATTGATAAATGAGAACCATTGTCTGAGAAGGAATCGGTCTGCACACTATGTTTATCACATTTGCTGCTGTCTACTCTGTATTTAAAATGGGTCACACCTGACTGGTGTATTTAAATGGAGATCAGCGCCCCATCGTTAATTTCGTGAAAAGCAGGACGTCAATGGCCTCGTAATGATAGTGTAAGGAATATCGATATTCTGTTGGTTCTAAGCTTTCGTTTTTAATGGCACTTGGAAATATAATTCAGTATTGGCTAAGTGCAAGACTGTTGATTCAAACAAACAGTTGTTACCCAACCTTATATATTTACACCAAATCCGCTGTTTAACGAATCTCCCATGGTGCAGGGGTTTGTCAGCTTTTCATTGATTGGGGGAGGGGGGTCAGGACCTGAAAAACTTACATTAAATTGATTAAATTTATCAAATGCGGGACTTTAACCCTGAACTTCATTAAAATTGTTTTTCAGTGTCATCATTTTGAGCACATTAGATTAGACTTTACTAACCAGCCTAAACAGAGGAGCATTTTTTTGGCGGGAGTTTTGACCTTCACTCCTACATGGAATATGGACGTCTGCTTGCTACCGCTACTTGTCGTGCTTCTTCGGTTCTCCTTAAGAAAGTGACAGCAATCAGCATTGATGCACAGCTAATCGCGCTCTGAAGATTAACTAAACTGTAAATGCATTTTTGTTCAAACCAGCATAGTAGAATTTATGTAATCCTCACACCGTTTCTCAGGGTAGCTTCCTTCCTTGAATGTTTCCGCAGTAGCTCACAAGTAAGTGTGTATTTAAGGCTTAATCAGAGTTCGGGACTGCAAAATTATTTGCTCGGATTTTCGGTGAGGGTCGTTGTTTCGACGGTCCTGCTGCCTCCAACGGTCATCAAGACGCGTTTCGAAAGTGCAACGTACAGTTACCCGTCGGTCCTAGCTGCAGCTCGTGACATTGTGAAAAATGAGAAAGTTTGGGGTAGGTTTGCTTGCTTTATTGTTGTAACGATTTTTTTTTGAACTGATCTATTCGTTTCATTTGTGACTCTAGGCTTGTATTCTGGCGGTCTACCGACGGTTTTGCGCGACGCACCTTACTCTGGCATATACTTGGCGTTTTATCGTCTTCACTTGTCCTTGGTCCCGGAAGGTGAGATCTGATGACTGTGAGGTACGGTAGTGACTGATCATTAATTTTCAGGCATGTTCGCCGCCTGCTCGGCTATCGCCTTCTTCGTCTGTGCCGCATCATCCAGCTTTCTTGCTTGTGTGTTGACCCAACCGCTAGACATGGTCAAGACGCAGATGCAGCTGTTGCCGTTGCAAAACAGAAGCTTTTTATTGACGCTGCTGAGAATCGCTAAGGTGTGACGCGCTTTCAAGTTTTCCTTACCGGTGTCAGTTTACTGGTACACAGACTGCTTAGACGACAGGCGTGATGTCACTGTTCGACGGCCTCGGACCACGGGTGCTGCGCAAATGTCTTATGACAGCGTCGAATTGGACGATCTTCGAAGAGGTAGACTCAAACTGCCCACTTCAGTTTGCATATATCATTTTTAAAATTACTCATTTCCAGGTGTCTTTGTTCCATGATAGAAAAACTTGACGGTTCCGTGAAATCTGACAGCTTCGGCAACGAAATACATGTTGACTGCATCGTTAGCTACCTGAAAGCTTACTTCATCCATTCATTCTGAGTCGAGCTAGTTACCATTTGTTTGGATAGATGAAAAGCTGACAGATATTTCGGAAAACCGCGACTAATCGACGACTGCAGAAAGGCATATCGTATGCTATCGTTCCGTATCGATTAATATATTGATTTTTTACATGATCTGAATATAAGCGAAAGGACTAAAGATATTTCGGTGTTTGACTTTAGTTGAAAAGATGCTGGGAAGAAGAAATAACAGATGGTCAAACTAAGGCTTTGGAGTGGTACCCCTGAAGCTGTTCAAACGGTATATTTTCATGCATGGTATGCATAAAAATCTGAAATTTACATGTTACAAGTACTAAGTAAGTAATCTTTTGGGTGGTTTTCTTATTGATTATTATTTAACAGTCAGTAAAGCGTAAATATTTCACGGAAAATGATATAGAGTATCAAGCACATGTACAGTAATACTGGTTAGATTTATTTAATAGGTACCCATTTCGCATTCATTTCGTCAGCGTACAAAATTTATGCGCAATGAGCACGGTCTCGGGGGTTCTCTCTACATCTGTGGTGAAGAACGCGAAGAAACTTTAAGCTCTGCATACAACGGTCATCAAGTGATCCCGCACGGAATTGTTAGGTGGGGAAATCAGCATTTGCCACCTTTAGAAGTACTGAAACATTATTGACTGACAGTGACTTTTCCATACTGGAAAAGAAATATGTTGATCCGTTCAACCGTCCTTCCTTCATGATCTATGACGTCAAGTGCTGATACACTATGAAAGCTAACGGAATAATCTGTTAGCGACACAAAGAGCCTTGAAGCACAGAATGTGTCAGGTTTTCCTCACGGATCACGTTCTAAGTGCGGAAATGTAACAAACCGAAATAACGGAGGTGGTCTATCGCCTGCAACATTAAAAGAAGATGGACCGGTAACGTGGCTCACCTAAGCCGGTAAACAGTGGATGTGACGAATGTAGAATTGGAGACTTTTAAACAATAAATATTCCATGTGTCTTCCCAAAGACGATCTGCCAACAGATGGTCGAAGTACTTGGACAGCAGTGGAGGCAGAGAACATTCATTCATGGCGCGCCGAAAACGGAAAGTCGCGTTCAAGGATATTAATAGATGCTAATATCAATTATATAATGGCAGTGGAAAACTTGCCATCTA